AGAGGCGAAGCCAGTGGGATTGAGGGTCGCTTGTCCAGTCAGCAAGTAATAGTCAAAACTTGACACCTCCCAAGCACTATCATAGCCTCTCTAATAATGGCATGCGTCAGTCTTACAAAAGATCCATTGCCACCAGTGCTTGCCTCACATAGGACTACAGTTTGACAAACCAAAAAAAAGGAATGATTGAACGTCTCCTTTGTTTCTACCTATAGCCCCACCCATCGACGTAACATGTCCCAATCAACCAATGCCACCCCTCCCGTGCTTGTAACAACGATTCCAGGAGGAACTTTTTTTCGGCTAGCCGTACGATCAGAACTGCAGGCATTGGTGAAACTAATTTTTAACCTCTAGCTACCCAGGAAAGTTTTCTTGCTGTTGAGCCACTTGATAACTTTCTCAAGCAGTGGTGAGATTCCACACCCTCCACACACTGACCATCTGTACCGCTCAAGGCTCACATGGATCAGATAACACCAAGGCCCTTACAACAATTATTTATAACCCCCTTGGACATCTACCCCCTCCCCCTCCTGCCTGGTGGCATGGTGTAAAGGTTAGTGATGATGGAGCCAATCTTGGGAGTTTGTTCTAAATCAGGGCTGAAAGGGCAATGCATTTTCCGTCTTAGACAGGTTAAAAAACCCTCCGAGGGGAAGGAATTCCTCTTTACGTTTCCGCTTTGAGCAGGTTTTCGCTTTACAGAGGTAATTACAGCAGAATTTATCAAGGGAGGAGAGGGAAGATTCCGTTATGACAGGCTTCTGTCTCAGAGAGGTATCCATTAATTAATGAGAGGTTCACTAGAACTACTAACTACGTCATGGTGTACCCACCACGGCCAAGTCACAGTCGGCATGGTCAGGATGTAGAATAAAGTGAAGCTTGACAGGCACAACGAAAGCTCCCATGAGAATGTTGGCCAAAGCGACGTTCACAATCAACAGGTTTTTGGGCTGCGTTCTCAAGACATGCTTGGCCAACAGGAACACCACGATGGCCAAGTGACTGGCCAGGATCCAGGTGGCCAGGGCCAGACGAGTAATGTTGAGGGCGTTCCAAGAGGTGTACGCCCTGGGCGCAACCTTGTCCCCGTCATGGACCTCGTCCCAGTCAACGATCGACATCTGGAAAGAGAACAAGAACTTAAGTAGCGCAGCGGGACAATAAGTGTGGCCATTTATTAGTTTATTTGAGCAAAGAGAAGCCTATCAACAGAATAACGGCCATTTAGCTTGTTTGTTTGAGCAGAAGGAAGCACATCGAAACAATAGGTCAACAGTCTTTTAATGCAGGGAAAAAGTAGGAATCCCCCCCC